ATTATATGTCGATTTAGAGGTCAAGTTAGAATAAAGAATTGAAACGGGGAATGTGTCAAAGAGACAGCAACCCGACCAAATATCCAAAGGCCACCAAAGGTTTTTTCAACGTAGCGAAATAATCGTGCATCCGTAGGCGGGCTTAAGCTAGTCCCTAAATAATAATGTTTCCTAGTTCAACGAAATGTAAGCCGCACAGAACATAAATGAAAATCAAACATACCAAATGATCCAAAATATAAAAAAAGACACACACCAGACTAACAAAGGCAAGCGGTATCTGACTTGGGACAGGCGCAAACATGGGGTTAAACATGTTTTTTGACATTTCAGCCATCCCCCTATACCTCTTACAATTGTTGAATAAACAAACACACAGTAATAAAAGCAGTTCTTTAACTGAAGCAGCTTTTCATGTTTTTAAGTAAATCATCGAGAAAATAACTTGTTTTATTTAAAACAGACCTGATAAATGTTCACTGCATTTCCGGTCATAGCTGTGACGTTGTTGTTTACTTTAAAAAAAATAGCATTGGACCAAAATAATCCAATCGTTCAGAAAATTATTACTAAAGACGCTACATGCAAAGGTTATGTTCCATTACAACCAGTACAAATAGCAAAAAAATAAACATCGTGGTAACTGATTGAAATGCAAATACTCTGGATTTGGTAGATCGAAATTAGCAGCAAATCTATTGAGAATGAGAGCAAGGAGTAAAATACACCACCGTAATAGTTTTTTTTTTCTGTAACTAAAGGAAATATGGAATATTTGGAATGAACATGAAATCTATCGTTTTCTTACCACTCTTTCTGGATTCTATCCTCATCTTACACACTACGTCCAGGTCACAAAATAATACGACTTCGTTATTATTTGTGAAACAAAAAGACCAATAGACTGATTGATATTTGCTGTTCAAATCTCATTCGCAAATTTTGTGTGCATATTCCATATGGAAACAAGAAAATAAGTTGCTTATAAACTTTTAAAACTACGCGGAAAGGGAAGTGATTGGTATAGAGAGGGGAAATGTAGTCTTCTGTAGCAGTTCATTTATTGTCGCAATCTACAATATTTTTCACGTACTACAGACTGAGGCATCCTCTAAACACATACGAGTTCGCAAAACGAAACACATCACGTTAACTTAAACGTTGAACTCATGAGATGTATAAGGTAAAAATAAATTGTTAACGCAGAACTGTGTACACGTGCAGCAATAATAAAAAGGACGATCTTTTTTAGTATGAAACTGTAAATCAGGACAGTCATACTTCCATACTTAATCATGTTGATAAACAATATGTTATTTCAAATATCGTTTTTTAAACAACGTTTAAAAAGAGGTATATAGAATGTATTAATTAGACACAGGTGTTACACAAACCACGCCTCTTTTTGGGAGATATATAACATTCATAGATATTTGTTTTGTTTACCTACTGGTTCTCAGATATGATCTCTATGTTTCATCTCATAGAGACACAACTTGGGAATTTTACCGGTATAAATACACATGGATAGGGGCCAAGTTGAATTATGAGAAAGACCCAAGGTGAAGGGAGGGGTAGGAAATAAATTTGATAGAAGTTTAATCTCTTAGAAGTTCGAGGAATATACATGTTGAAAAAATGCAACACAGCCCTATGTGTTGGCCTGTGACAAAAAAAGTAATGCATATGAACTTTCCATTCTACAAATAAGGTTTAGCTATCTATAAAAACAGGTTTATTCCAAATTTCTTCATAAGGAAATGCCTGTACCGAGTCAGGAACATGACAGTTGTTTTCCATTCGTTTGAGCTTTTGATTTTGCCATTTGATAAGGGACTTTCCGTTTTGCATTTTCCTTGGAGTTCGGTATTTTTTGTTATTTTACTTTTTACACATCATTGTGTAAAACATGACCAAAACATAACCTTGACCTTTGAACTTGACCTCATTTTCTAAGTAAGGACCCAAAATAAAAGGACTCTAGGATGATACGGCTTACGGTTTTTGAGTAACAAAACCATAACGAAAAATTTAATTGGTAAAGGAAGATAACTCATATTAGATGCCAACAATTCCCTTGTAAGGATGTCACGAACAATTAGGGAAAATAAAAGTCGGTATCTTTATAATATAATAACAAGGAGAACAGTGTGTGCATGGAAAATAACTCTTACAAAAAAATGTGTTTGGTTAACCATATAAAAAAAGAGATGTGGTATGATTGCCAATGAGCCAAATATTCACAAGGAAGCAAATGACACAGAAATCCACAACTATGGGTCACCGTACGGCCTTCAACAATGAGCAAAGCCCATACCGCTAAGTCGGCTATAAAAGGCCCCGAAATGACTAATGTAAAACAATTCAAACGAGAAGACTAACGGCCTAATTTATATACAAAATAATGAACGAAATACAAATATGTAACACAGCAACAAACGACGACCACTGAATTACAGGCTCCTGACTTGGGACAGGCACATACAGAATGTGGCAGTGTGACTTTCAAAAGCGCAATAAATGTTAGATAGAATATCCAAAACATCCAAACGACATCTTGTGAAACCACTTTATACCACAAGAAAAGGATTTGGCGGAAGAAGAAAACAAATAATAATCAAAACAAAGCCAAAACAAAAAGGTCTTTCCACAGAAAGGCGGAAAGACCTTATAATCAGAAAAAAAATCAATAGGTCTTTTCACGGGAAAGTGGAATGACCTAATCAGTGTTATTTGACAAGTAATTATTTGCGACTATTAACTTACAATACCTATGGCCTACACAAGTTTTTATAAGAAAGTATGAGAGAAGGAAATACGGAGACAGCTGAATGTGGCAATATAAATTTATGGGTAACGTGAAGAGAGAATATATTCGTCACTGTCATCATCTAGACAGACAAGGCGAATACCCGTCCTGATTGATGAGTTCCACTGGCATAGCAAAGTAAAACAACTGTTGGCAGATTTTGTGCCAAACATAGTTAAACATGTTTGGTATGGTGTGTCTCCTTTTACATGTTTTAATATGCACTAAAAATCGTGAAAGAAAAAAATATTTTACAGAGAATCGTATTAATGTTCTGATAAGCTTCTTTCAAGTCAAACTTAAGATAACCTATTATTGTTTTTGATTCATGCGCCTATCTAGGTTTGGTAAGATATTGTAAAGACATGCTATTTGGTATTGAAGCCTTTTATAGGGGTAGTAAAACAAAACTTCTCTATATGTTTGATGCTTTCTTTTTAATTACTTAAGGTGTATTAGATTCGGATGTAAACTTATACACTTTTCTTTTGGTCATATAATCCAGCAAAATTCGTTATTGTTTTAATGAAATTACCAAAACTACTTATTTTATTCAAGCCAGTTATAATTGTAGAAGAATTCTTCAAACTTGTTGTAATCTTTTTTTCAACTTAAAAATGCTGGAGTGATAATGCTTTCGTTGGTATTCGGGAATATATATCGCTTACAATACACGCAAATGCCGAATGTATTTCACGGAAAGGGAATAACATCCTGGCCAAACAAACATTATTTCATGTAAAGCCGATGTTTGTCAAGAATACTGCAGTCTAAGCGAGCTATAAAGACAAGCATTAATCTTTTTCCTACACTACCCTACATGTCGAAATGACAAACATAGTATGTCATAACGTACGTTTCGGCTTCCTCAAGTAAAGAATTCTGGAAAGCCGGACAAAAGTTGCATTGAAATGCTTAACAACCCACAAAAAAAAATGTTAACTCAGGTGTTTACTTTTACCATGCCTTTCAAACGTTTGCAGATTGTAACCTTTTTATACAACAAGGAAACGTTTATTTGCAAGCAAAACACTTTCCACAATAAAGCATTGTTTTCCAACACAAACATGTTGATAGTGGATATTTTTGTATATTAAACCAGCTCGGCAGATTTTATGGTGTGTTTCATACTGTAACGGTCAAAAACATGAATAGAAAGTAATTCTTCTATAATTCATTTAACCATGTCACTGATTTATGACGTAGTAGCTTTCCACAATGGTTTGAAAGACTCATTTATTTACCCTAATTTTCCATTAAATATTGGTAAGACAGTTTTGCATAGGCTTCATAAGTCTAATGAAATAAATTCGAGCTTCGCACTGTGAAAGGAGGTTATAAAGCGTTATACACATGGGTCACGATTGAATTGTTATCTTGGAAACAATTGCTCACATGTACAGACACCATTTACACCAGTTAACCATTAAATCGAACAAGATAATATAGTCTTGACTCTTTTTTTACCAGATTACTTTTGCTGGCCGTGAAATTGCATAGGCTTGCTGAACAAAAGCACGTGAAGCTGAATATAAAAACTGCATAAGCCATCGATATATTTTTAACCTAAATCGGTTCACCTTTGATTTTCATATTATATCCACCCTCCTCCAATATTTTCTTTAAAGGTCAATATCCTGAATCATTTAATCACTAAAGTTGAACTAAATGAACAAACACTTTACATAACAACATTTTAGGATTAAAAGTGTAGCAATTAACAAATCTCTGTTATAACAGAGATTTGTTAATTACTCTGAAAAAGGTATATCAAAGGTATTTACGATTGTGACAATATTTGTAATTAATACCATATTAATTTTGAGTCAAGCAACTTTAAACGCTTCATTACCGGACCTCGACAAATTGGAAATAGCTTTTATGAACAAATAAGATTCCACAAACAACAGATCCATGAACCAAGTACACGTAAATACCATTGAGTAAATACCTTATTGTGTCTTCATTCAGGCGCAACTGAATTTTGAAACACTACATGGGGTCTTTGCAATAATCGGAAACAAAAGCTTCGTAACCTTATTGTTAGGTTTCATTAAAATAGAGATTAGATTTCATGAAAATATTGAACAAAAATAATCTCCTGTATTTTTGTTTTGTTTTTGTTTTTATCAATTCTGCATTAATACAAAGGTTTACTGTTTGTCTTTAGAATTGACCCATTTTTACTTACACAATATTTCAACAGTTTTGTTCTGTGATCCTACACTTTGATTTTCGATATTTAGAGCTGTGCAGTAAATGATTTTTCCTTCATCTTCTCGATTCACAGTATATATCAGTACACTGGATGATATAACTTTACCATTACAATTGAGACTACAAACATCATCCTGAGGGGTAGCCAAACTGGTGATGTTGGTGTCAGAAATATACCACTGTATTCTTGAAGATGGTCGGCCAGCATCTGTTTTACATTGAAATGTTTGTGTTATTCCTGTCACAATTGCTACTGGATTATCATCGATCGGTGTTGCCATTATGTTTACGTGTGTGATTGGGACTGCAATGAAAGTATATTGAACTGATTTAATATTATATTTAAGCGTTGTACTTCTTCACACAGGCCACAGAGCACATACTAAATTCATCCATTTGTTTTGTTTCTTTTATTTTATTCACAACATTTTATTCTGCAGATTACGTACTTTTCGTTCATTTTAAAGAAGTTTGCCATAAATTAACAACAAAGCAAAAGAACAGTCAGAAACGGAGTGTTCTGTTTTGATGACGAATGTAATGGTGTTTAGTACTATATTAGAGGTAACAGCAGCTTGCTGAAACTAATATCTCATTAATCTATTTAGCAGATACAAAGTACAAAAAAAAACGGAATACATGTATTAGTTTACGCTATAATTACAATAGACAGCTGGTTTGTATGTCGACTTCATTTATCAGAATTACAAGTTACTTTTTGCCCTATACATGAGTTTTATAATATATGTTTATATACAGTAGAAGCACAGATCAACAAGTAACCCTTGATATAAAATAAGTCGTCCACATTTTAAAGACTATATAGATAAAATCGTTAGTCTAGATAAGGATTAGCAAAATGATTAGAGATGCAAACCATCCGTTGATGAGACATCAAGCAATTTTAAAAAGCCAGATAACACAAATATATTCGGTCGCATATTTAAATATCAATGTGGTATAAATATTTAGTTATTAATTGACAATGTGCAGTTTATCTACATGAATATTTCCTGGTGTTCTGATACTAACGATACTGGGAGCCTCACTGAGATAGTTGGGAGTGTAAAAGGTACGAAATCTTCAGTAGATATTGCGCCTAGGGGTTGGATATCCAGGTAGCACAAAACATTTTCAAAACATTTTATAAGGTTGTATAAATGTCTTCTCAAAACCTTGCCGAAAAAATATTTTTGCGATGTTATGTAGATATTTTTATCGGTATTTTTTAAAACAATTTTATAAAACAATTTTTGAAAATGATTTTACAATGATTTAAAAATATTCATGAACAAGTTTTCAATATTTTTTTTAAAGATATTTTGTCTTTATATCTTTAAATGTTTAGACGAACGAATTTATCAGTGTATAATAAAAAAGAAAACCTATTCTTTTTTGAACCAGTAAAAAAAATGATTTATGTTGCAAATAAATTTCTATCCTACCTTTCAACCTTTGACGATAGCAAACCTTTTTTAGCGTGAATAAACTGGTCATAAGAGTAAATAAAGTCTTTTTACGGGGATTTAGCTCTTTTAAATAAAGATACCTTTAAAGCCTTACAACTATCAAGAAGAACAAAATGTATATATATATATATATAAAAGAAGATGTGGTATGATTGCCAATGAGACAACTCTTCACAAGAGATCAAATTACACAGAAAATTAACAACCATAGGTCACCGTACGGCCTTCAACAATGCATACCGCATAGTTAGCTATAAAAGGCCCCGAAATGACAAATGTAAAATAATTCAAACGAGAAAATAAACGGCCTAATCTATGTATAAAATAATGAACGAAAAACAAATATATAACACAGCAACAAACGACAACCACTGAATTACAGGCTCCTGACTTGAGACAAGCACATACAGAATGTGGCGGGGTTAAACATGTAAGTGGGCGCCTAACCCTCCCATGATCCTGAAACAGTGGTGCAACAGAACAATACAAGAACTGTACAAAACAAGAAACAAAATGTAAATCAAAATGACCACAGACGCTCGAACCTAGCTGAGATTTGCACAGTAGTGATATATAAGTTATATAAACAATAATAAATGAAAATCTAATACCAAGAATAATAGATCGGGGTCTTTCTCATAAGCGCCTGTGCAAAACTCTGTTCGCGATAAGGAAAATTATTCAAAATTATCCGGTGGAACCTGCGAAAATCTGGTCAGTTGACAGGTATGTTTCATGCTTTAAGAAAAGGAATCAAAATATTTTGATCAGATGTTTTCTACCACTTTATACAGTATACATGAGTATATGCATACTAAGTAGTAATTATTGCAAAATATATACATATATCTCAAGTTATCTTTATTAAACTAAACTTGTGTGAACAACACTGATTCATGATTATGTAATAAAAAAGAAGATTACAATAATTCAATTTGGGTACTTTACATTAATATCATCAGCTCCTCGTTTTGACAATTTAAAGCAGAATGAATCTCAACTATAGAGACAATCTAAGATGCCTGTAAAGAGATATAATCACCTTAAATGTCGTCAACTCTTAATGATATGTTCACCATATACCCTACGTTTCTTGTGCATGTAATTGAATGTTCCTCTCCTTCGGCGTTTCATAAATTTGCCCAAAGTTACAGGTCTTTGAACTTTATAAATGTTAATCCTATCCAGTATGCACTAACTCATTGAATTTCCTCTGACATGGTTTGTTTGATACAAATGTACTACCGCAATACTGTAGATTGTTGAAGTACTTTTCATCGATCGGAGTATTTCAAGTTTCGTTGATTTTACGAAATACTCAGAAAGCAAATAATATGAAAAGAAATATTATTAAGATGATGGTACATAAACCTTTGGTTTTTTTTTCGGAATTTGACATGTTGCCTTTCAGTTTTGCTCATCTCACGTGGAAACACTGGGTATTCCTAACCTTCACAAGAATAAACCGTTTTGGTCGCAAAGGCCATTTTTTTTTAAACTTTCGACTTTTGAATTCTGGAGGCGATTTAATTTAGTTATATACATGTTGTACTTATTGACATAGTGTAGAAAATTAGTTAACATGAAATCGCTCGAAAATAAGTTTTATTTTGTACCTATCAGAAACACAGCCATCATGATTGTGATACTCGGCTGGGTGAAACGTACATTATATCCATTTGTGCTCAGGGTAGGATGATCTAGTCCAACTTTCCTAGATTAATATCCCTTTTTACTTAGAAAGTTTAACGTTTACCAGTATGCAACCCCTCTGGTGTGGTCTGTTGGATAACATTGGCGGTTATACACGAGTCTGTTGTTGGTCTCCGTCAGTAAATGCATTGATTTTCGTATAAATTCGCAATTACAATGAATAAACTAACAAAATGAGCAGAACATGTAATGGGCACCAGAGATGCAAAAGCCGAGTTAGAACTTCAATATGATTACCAAGTATCAAATGCATCAAAATGATAAACTTCAATATCTTTAGTAGTATCACAATTTTACCACAAAATAATCATAAAAAAACGTTTTTTGTTACCCGTTTATTTTTTAATTTGGGCAGAGATTCCTTGTACCAAGCCTAATCCGGCTGGTCTGGGGGCGCAAGACAACTAAAATTGCTGAAAAGAAAACAGATTTTAAATTGATCATCAATCATATCAATAAAGTAAACATCAATATATATGCAATCGCCATTTTGTATCCCCACAACTCTTTTAAACCCATTTGGTTCCTAGGAGTCTTGTATATTGAGTGCACATTTTTCTATCGTAGAAAATTCGAATTATTAATATGAGGAATTAGTTACAAAAAATAGGTAATATCTTCTTTATGCATCATGCAGACGATGCGAAATAATTTACGTTCACGTGCGTTGTTATGTTTGATTTATACATCACTATGTATAAACAGCAGCTCCCGTTTCGTACGATTCGTCAAGTTACTCTTTCGTATTTACAAATCATTTTGTTGCTAATATTTTAAAAACATTTTTATATAATGTTATGAAAACATTTACGAAAAAAACATTTAATAAAAAATGTTTCAACAATATTAAGCAAACATTTATTTAGGCTTTATTTTATCAAATGACAGAAAGCTTAAAGGTGATTGAAGCAGTACTTCCCAGATATAGCTTTATATAGTGTGCGTATTGCTATTATCCGGATTTTCTGTTCCAATGCTGACAACGAACATTGATGGCCTTAAATTTCAACTTTATAATAAAATCTCAAAATGGCCATAATGTGGTTCTTACATGGGTCTATTTTATAAGCCTTACTTCTTTGTTAAAATAAATCTCTTCATAAGAGTACATTTTTTGGCTTCAGTATCAGCATATTTTGGATATATTGTCTAATACGATGATTTTGTGCATTTTTCAGACCTAAAAGCTTGAGTAAACCCTTGGCCGCCACCTAGGATCCAAAATGTTCTGTAACCAAGGGTTGCCAATGATGATATTTAATCCCGAAACACAAACACTTTATGGATCTTGGGTGGCGGCCAAAGTAAATAATGCGAAAAACTGTTCAGAATTATTGATAATTTGACCAAAACTGATGTTTCAACGCAAATAATGCATACTTAAAGAGTCAATACTTCGTCATTTTTAATATGATGTGCCAAAATGAAGTTATTTTGTATTAATAGGTATATCATAACTATTTCTATGTGAAATTTGTAGTATTATGGCCTGATAAAAAAAAACCTCAAAATCTTAGGGCCAATTTTCACCCTTCGTGAACTTACTCAAAATAAAACTGTTCCCGACGCCTAACAAACATGGTCCGAAGCAATTTTTGAACCAGTAACTGCAAAACAAAGAAGCAATGAAAACTTTAGGTGTCTACTTTGCGTTAGATAAGGACAAATGTGACAAATTGAATATTGAAAAAATAATGAAACAGTAAAAAAAAATTAATATTTGACTGGGAAAAAAGAAATTTAACAATGATAGTTCGAAAAAAAACAGTTGTTATGTCACTTATCTTACCAATTCTTACGTTTTAAGCATCGGATGTTTTCATACCCCGTATCTACATAAAAGATTTAAAATAAAACTTATATGCAATTTTATATAGAACAATAATCATGAAAAAGTAAAACGTTCAACACTTAGCAAAGATCACATACACGGGGGTCTGAAAATGACAGACATTGATAATTTCTTAAATTCATTACACTTGTCATGGGTTAAACGATTAGCTACAAAATAATTTGTTAATTTGAAAGTCATTCCAACTTATTATTTTAACATATTTGGTAAAAACAAACTTATGTTCCTTAAGATGCCAGACAACATA